TTTCTGGCAACAAAACAGCTGTGTTAAGATGTTAAAACACCAAAATGAAACCTTTTACAAGGAATCATGTTTGCATTAACCACAATACTTGTGGTCAGAATGCAAACAAAAACATACTCTGATAATATATGCATTGTCTTTTAAACTGATTGGTCCACACCAGAGTCAGCTTTCTTTTGAGCCTAGTCTCAAAACGGTGTTAGACCAGAGGACGCCAAAAGGCGTACAGCATTCTGACCACAAGTATTGTGGTTAATGCAGACATCGATTCCTTGTAAAAGGTTTCAGTTTGGTGTTTTAACATCTTAACACCTGTTTTGTTGCCAGAAAAAATGGGAAACCCTATTCTCAATTGACGTTCCTCGTCTGTTTACATGTCTTGATGTGTGTACCTTGTGCGATCGTGTTTCCAATCCATGCCATGTGAAGCGGCATGTCTTGTAAAATGCTCCTTTTAGGTGAAACGGCATTTATAACGGCGATATAACATTTAATGCATTGTGTATATTAAATACACACGTGCACAAACAAAAACTGGAATGTTAGGAGAGCTCTGTATGAGCCACATTCACTTTCTTAACAAAACAGTGGCAAGACATTGCCGGAATGTTACCTGCATTGTTGGTGTTGAAAATGTCAGCACATTTTGGGCTAAAAACTGGAGAAAAAATTTACATTTGCCAATAAGCACATCATAGCATAATGTATTGTATATCTTTATATTGTAATTCATGGACTGGCCAAGAATCATTCTGAAGTAATAAAAAAAACTACTTATTTATGAATTGCTATTTAATAATGCATGTGTCATTATCTCTTTTTGTATAAAGACGGTTCATACATTAAAAATTGTGGATTATCCCAATAGTGCGCTGTGACATTCTCCACTTGTAACAAATGAAGGGCTGTACTCTGCTCGATGTTATCGTCGTTTTTTGTAATTTAGAACATTTATGACCGACACGAGCCGTATAATGGCCCTTCTCAGATACAGTTTTCAAAGTGAACATATCCATGCAGATGCCCTCTGAGGAGCCTCATTCTCAGAACGGCTTGCATGGCAATGCCTTGGGGGCCCCTAGGTCGGTGCTCAACATTCACATCTCGCCCCACTCGCAATGCCAGATTATCACAGCGTGCTTCAGATGTCCCTCGTCACTCGCGCACAACAGTGCCTTGCCGCTTGAAATAAACCTAATCATTTAAATCACGAACAAGCCCAACATTGAGCACCAAACTAAATCTCGCTACGATTGGTGCATTTCACTCTGTAATTTACCATTTGCTACTCCACTTTACACCGCATACATGACTGTCATCTAACGCTTCACCATGATGTTAAATGCTGGCAGAGATAAGCCAACACTATAAGTGTGGTTGGTAATCTGTAATGGGGGTAAAGCTATAAAAGGGCGTGACCAAATCAACCGCACAGCGCCGATCTCGTCTGACTTCGGAGGCTAAGCAAGGGTGAGCCTGGATAATGCTTGGATGGATGACCACCCTACTCAAACCGGATCTCATAGGGCAGCTTAGCTACGTGGAGGGTAGCAGAGGGCGGTGCAGCAAAAGCCATTACTGTACTGTACTTCCATGCTACTACATCTATGCTCCTCGCGTTCACCATCCTGCACTGACCAGCATGCAGAGGCCCTCATCCAGCTGTGGATTTACAAACGGGCTGTACCAGTACACGAGTTTACACGAAGGAGCACTGCATGCATCATCACGCAGGATCTCGCTTTGGATGTTCCAAGTGCCGTAGTTGTTGTTGCTGGTTATTTTGCATGAAAATCTTTCGGGCCTCCACTTAGCCACTGAGATTTAAACAAAACCAACACGCAGGTCGCTTTACTCCTGTGCTGCCCACTTATTGTACGAAGCGATGAAGTGGAAGTACCAGTAATTATTGGGTACAAACCCTCGTAGCATTTTCTTCCCAGTGGCAAGAGGATAGCACATCACAGCTTGCGTTGCTAAAACTGGCAAGATAACACTTTGTCAGAGGTCGAGGGATGAGGCAGACTAAATCTGTAACCCCAAGCCCCACCACGACCCTATAGCCCATGAAATAGATACATAAATTCACATCTAATAGGGCTTGTCTAATGTGCAATGGTGTGAAATCTATGGAAGCTAGGAACTTGAGTAAATCAAATAAACATAAAACATGAGTCTAAAGAAAACATGGTATTGTTCCAGTTAACCCGTTTGCACGGTGAGCATGTGACCTACATGAATGTGCTCATACCATGTATCGGTGCATAAAGATGCACAGGTAATGCACAATGCGAGATGGTCGTGCAATTATAGACACGCAGCCCATAGCCAATTAAAAACTTAACGAATAAAAATCATATCAAATTATGCAGATTTCCGAGAACCAGTCGTGACATGTTGAGACATCAACGCTTCACTTCTCATCAATGTTAACACAAAAGCCTGGTGACGTATAACTCCAAAATATAATTTAGCTAAAATAGTAGTCTTTTTTGTGTGCACGCTCCTTTGAGTACACACGATCAATAGTATTCATAGTAGGCATATGGTGCATTAACAGCAGCTCAATGCTGCATGCAATAGATTATTTATCAAGACTATTTTCAGAAAATGTTCCGCACTTTCTCATTCTTTTTTAATCAGAGATAATAAATTCATTCAGTAGATGCGTTTGTTTCGAGGCGGCGGGCCTTTCACTTCTACAAAATCCGGATGGTTACAAATACTAATTCAGCATCTTTGTTGCCGCGGAATGAGAAAGGTTGACGGGTGTAATTGAGGCATTTTGCGGCGTGAATGTTCCATTCAGCGAGTGCTCTCCGGCAGGCTGCAGCTCTGCGTGGAGAGCGGTCGTGCTCAACTAAGAGCGCTGAAGGGAACACAACAGCCGTCGTTTTAGCCGTCCTTGGGCCTCCTACCCATCATCCCTCGTTTAATTTTCACCATGATGGCATCCTTCGCAAAAAAAAGTTAAATATAAAAAGTCTAAGTGATCTATTTCGTAAATTGAACAAATTATTTCGTGATGATGGTCCTGTTGCTGCGTTGGCAGTGGTGCAGAAGCACAATTACCAAAACAACTCAGCACACTTGTCAAGAACACTGCCAAACATATAGCCGGCGATGATTGAGGCAATGTCCTTTCTGGGGTATGTGCTGTGACGAAGAAGGGCCGTTGCCTGAAATATCACAGATTTATTTATTTTTCTTTAAAGGAAGTGTTGTTGGTATGAGTGTGGTGAGTTTCTTTCTCAAATTAGCATCGAGACGGTTACATTTTGACTTAAAACTTTTGTGACTGCAGGAATTCATATTCTTGGTTATTTCGGTAAAGTCACGTAGATAGAAAATAAAAATAAAAAATAATACAAATAAAATTAAAAATAATAAATTGAAAATAATAAAAGCAAAAAACCCACGACGTTTTGATCGCAACAGATCGCAACACAAGCAGTCTTCATCAGGCGGAGAGAAAAGAGGGGGCAAGCCTCCAAATGCAACTGCTTATGAGGGTTTCCAAAGTGAGTGGGCAGGGGACGAGAGCTGACTTTACCGAAATAACCAAGATTATAGCATCGAGACCTTGCTGGGATCCTGTTCATAGCCCTGAGTCAGTCAGCGAAAATTCCATATTTCAAATGATGGAGGTGAGTCTCTCCAGGCAACAACCACTGTTGACTTCCACACAGTGGTCGTGATTTTACCGACCCCGGAGGGATGATGGGCTGAGTCAACAACCCTTTCTGATTGCGAGCCGCTCGCTCTACCGCTGAGCCACGTGGCGTGTTAGAAGGGGCAATGGCACACGGGACATGTTCACCTCTGGAGTGTGGTCGTGCGTGGCACAGTAAGTGAACGTGCCTCCTCCACACGCTCCCCAGACAGCAGAATGTGTGTCCCTGAGCGGGCGAACGCTCACAGATATCACGGTCACCGTAGCAATGTGGTATCAGTGTACACAGCGGTAGCAGGGGCACCGTCAGAGCTGGAAGGACGCAATGTGTACCTGCCTTATATGTACTCGAGTAGCAAGGCACAGACATTCGATGTAAGTTGATGAGCTCGAGTGTCTATGGAGCTGTTTGTGACAGGTTTCCAGCCCAAAGCTGGGGTCGGCAATGGCGGAAAATGAATCTGCTGCTGGATTATCGCAGTGGCAGGTCTGGTTATCATAGCACCCGCATCTTCGTGCCATGCCAGGTACCGTGGTTACTGGGATAACAAGCTTGCATCAGGGCTGTTCGGTTGACAGGGCAAGCATTACTTCGTTACCGTACACCCATGATTATCCCATAACCATCGTACCAGGATTGCTCAATGGACAGGGTTACCAGAGTATTATGGTTACCGAGTTAACATGTAAGCGTAGTACCATGTGTAATACTGCTGACAGGGTAACAACGATAGCTGGGTTACTGCGGTCCGAGGGTAACCAGGTTCTGGTAAATCGATTACCATTCCACCAGCTTACCGTGGTACCAATAATTATATATTACCATGCAGCATGATTTACACGTTACCATGGCTACTATTCTATCGGGCCATCGAGTTACCATTCTATGAGGGTTGCCAGGTTGCACTGTTAACCTGGTCACATCATTACCATAGTTACTCGGGTCATCCTGTTACCATAGTTACTGGGGTCACTGAGTTATACCACGGTTACCGGGGTCGTCACGCCACCACGGTCACCGGGGTCAGCGGTAGACCATGGTTACGAGAGCTCGTCGCGTTACCACGGTGACCGGGGTCAGCGGTAGACCATGGTTACGAGAGCCCGTCGCGTTACCACGGTGACCGGGGTCAGCGGTAGACCATGGTTACGAGAGCTCGTCGCGTTACCACGGTGACCGGGGTCAGCGGTAGACCATGGTTACGAGAGCCCGTCGCGTTACCACGGTGACCGGGGTCAGCGGTAGACCATGGTTACGAGAGCTCGTCGCGTTACCACGGTGACCGGGGTCGCCATGGCGACGGGTGCTCCCGGCGGCGGGCCTCACCTGCAGGTAGGTCTCGGCCTGCGGCTGGAAGTCGCTGTGGAGCAGCTGGAAGCCGAAGCTCACGTGCGGGAAGCTGTGCAGCCACGACACCCACCACTGCGACGTGTAGTTCACCGCGAATGCCATGGCAACCGCCTGTCCGCAGACACACTCCGACTGCTGCTGCTGCTGCTCCCGTTCCTTCTTTAGCCGCCGCTGCTGCTGCTGTCTCTACTGCTGCTGCTTCTGTGACTGCTGCTGCAGCTGCTTCTGTTACTCCTGCAGCTGCCCTTTCTTCTATAGCTTCTCTAAGAGCTGCTGCTGCTTCCGCTGCTCTTCCTGATGCTGCTGCTGTTTCTCTTTCTTCCTGTCCTGCTGCTGCTATGAATGTTACTGTCTCTGTGTCCCGTGTTGTTGTTGTTGCTGCTGCTGTTTGTGCTGCTGCTGCTGCTGGTGGTGTTGGTGGTGGTGTTTGTGTTGTTGCTGCTGCTGCTGGTGGTGTTGGTGGTGGTGTTTGTGTTGTTGCTGCTGCTGCTGCTGCTGGTGGTGTTGGTGGTGTTGGTGGTGGCGGTGTTGATGGTTCCCCCGCACGGCGCTCGGGCATCTCTCTGTCCCGGAGCCCGGAGCCCGCACCTCGGATAGAGCGACGCGCTCGGTGCTCCAGCCGGCAGTGTCTCTCCACCTCCACCGCCTCTCCACCCTCCCCCTCCCTCCCTCCCTCCCCTCTCTCGCTTCCCTCCCTCCTCCTGCCTCACTCTCCCCTCCCTCGCCTCTCGCCTCCCTCCTGCCTCCCTCCCGCTTCACTCCCTCCTGCCTCCCTCTCCCCGCAACGCCGCAGATCCACTTCCTCGACCCCTCGCTCGCTCCCACCTCTCTCCCCTCTCTTCCTCTCGCTCCCCGCCCCTCTCTCCCCTCTCTTCCTCTTCCCCTTTTTTACGATCAGAGGAAACACGAAGATGCTCGGTGTAGTCGGCACTTTGCTTCGTTCATCATTTCGGGTTTTTTGTTTCAATGCTTTGCTTTATGTGCCCCCCCCCCCCTTTTTAAATGAAAGATTTCACGAAAGATCTCCTCTCCGCCCGCCGACAACAGCCTGTCCTCTCCTCTTGCATCCCTCTCCCGTGTCTCCCACCAGCAGCAGCAGCAGGAACAACAAAGCCCCTTCAGGACATCAGAATGCAATTGGAAGTGCCCCCATGTGTTCGCGAGCCCAACTAACATGTGCGGGATCTCGCGTGGACGATTTGTTTATCTTGTTCTGCCCATCATCATTAATGCATCAATTAGTAATTTCCTATTCACCTCAAATGTTGCGTAATACACGACTTTCGCTCACTTCTTTCTCAATATAAATCTCCCCCCACCACGAGACTCCGAAAATCAGTATGACTGTAAACTGCTATCCACCACGTGGGATATATCGCATGTTTATTGATTTGGGGTGTAAGGGTCCTATTTTAAATGTTTTAAATTTCAGTAGCGTTCCCTTTGGAAGTTTCTAGATCTGCCTCTAAGATGATTGACAGCAGTTTCTGCACACTCACTTCTATTCTTTCCCCAAATGTTGTAGGTTTTGTTTTATTTTAAAATGCATCGTTGCTGGCCCACGTGCAGATGGAACTCACGTCAATGTCCTCACGGTCAGATACAGTACATCACCGTCTCCACTGAACTAAATTGAGCAGCTAATGTTCTCACTCTATTCTACACACAGTCTACCGACTTCTGTTGGTGTTTGATGCTGGCAATTACTCGGGCAAATATCCGCAGCTTGTGGATATCACGTGATGTTACGGATACGCTCCGTTCAAGTGCCCCCCTGTTTGCAAAAGTGTTGCCTCGGTGGTTTCTTAGCGAAACTACAAACGAAGCCAGCTACTCGTGAAATGAGTTCACGCTGGGTGGATCGTTGCACGGCAGGGCCGTGAGGTGTGGCGGTGGCGACTTGGGGAGGCCTTCATCCAGCAAGCAGTGGATTGACCATGACCGATGATGACGTTTCCAAAAACTCCTTTCCGGACGAGCCCACGGGTCTTTGTTGAGGCAAAGGCGCCACCTGGCGTCAAAATAACCGATGTGCCAGCGTGTGCTGCAGATCGGTCCCTTCGTAATGACACAAGGGAGGTTATTTTTGGGGCGTTCGAATACAAAATAATAAAAGCTCAACACATTCGTCATTAACACTGGCCTTGTGGAAAACCACATGGTATCTGGACTAAACAATACATCTGCACAGTATTCATATGTCGAGATACATGATGGAGTTCTGCTTTATGATATTTGCACATGGAAAGGGCAGGCCTGTAATGCTACAACACCACGAGTCCCTTCTTACTCACCATGCACATGCCCTTCTAAACGTGGCTTGCTCTCATGAGGGAACAGGCGTCAACTGCCGCACGGCATGCCAAGCACGTTTCGAACTTGTTCATCATTCCCCGGTGCGGTTACTTAATGGCTCCAGTTGGGGGCGGTAGCACCGTATTAACGACGCATTCCACATTCGGCATTGTGTTGTTGCTCTGCGAGATCGATGATCGATGTTCGGTCGCCGCGTTGATGGCATCCGTCGTTATTTCTCACTTGACAGAGTGAGCCGCGTGAAGGCTGCCATCTTCCACTCCATTAACAATGGCCTTGAAGAGAAAAAAGAAATATAATTATCGATGTTTCGGGCAATAAACCTTTTTTAATGGCACATAACAGTATGTACTATGAAGAAGGACCATTGCCCGAAACGTTGCCCATAATGTATTTCTCGTTTGAAGGCCACAGTGTAATTGACCAATGTGTTAATTTTATTTACTGTAGAGCGATAACAAGGTAACAAAAGAATCGTGATGTATTATACAGCGTTCCATCGAACTAGGGCCCATTTTATTACAGAGGACATTTGCCTCTAAACATTTGGCAGTCAACCAGCATTTAGCAATCAAGCAAGCACTCACTTTTAAGCTCGATTTGGAATAAAAAAAGTCTCTGCTAGATGTAAAAAAATCTGCCAGCTTTCCAACTCATCTCATTAAAGAATACATTGCAAAATTCCTTGTTTGGACTCAGCACTTTCATATTTGTGGACAATTAATACAATTTTACTTTATTCGAGTTAGGGTTTCAAGACCTGTACAGTACAGTGTATATATATATTCATACCTGTGCCGTGATGCAAGCTCGCAAAGTATTCTCTTACAAAACATCGTTATTTGAATCGCCCTGCTACCGACATCAACCAGGTCAGCTCTCACGAGGCCTGCTCTGAATCATCTGTCCAGATTTCTCTCTGCCGCTCACATCGATCCAACAGCGAGCGTTCAAATTGCCTTTGTATTATGGGAGTGTGCTAAGTGGCCCTTAATTATACTACAGCGTGTGTGGTGTGAACTGCTATACGTACTGTGTATTGCTGAGGTAGAAGTACACTTTGTAATTTTAAACATAAACGTCTCTTCATGCGGTTGTTCTGTAATTGCCAAACCAAGGGATTAGAGAAGCAATATAATACATCCCAGACTGTGGATTAAGCGCTGAGGAATGCAGCGAATTGCCTGCCCCCGTGTTCTGCCAAACAAGTTTACAATGCGACACTCATCATCCTGTTTAGGCAAACTACGGGGCGAATTACCTTTATTATCCACTTCAGATGAAGCCATTGGCCATCCACTCGACCTCTCTTTACTATTATCATTCACTACAGGAAATGGCCAGGCTGCAGCTGAGCCCTGTACCAAAATACGTATGAAGTACATTATGAAATACAACATCATTATTATACAGTAATAATATAAAGCCCTGCCTCAATACACTGCTGGATGAAGACCTCCCCACACTGTCAGCATAGCGGGTTTTGGGCCATACGTCACCATCGTAGTGTGTGTGGGACGATGAAGGGGTTGTCCAGGATTGGTTCAGACAGCACTCACCGCTGATGTTCGCCGTGGCCGGGAATCGAATTCAGGTCGCTGGGTTATTGGCAGTGCACTAACCACTACACCACCGCTCCCTGCCAAGAAGCGTACAGGTCTCTGTGTGTCTGTGTCGACTATGCAAGGGAGTAGCTTCTGAGTCTGGTACAGGCGGCAGACGGCGTTGAGGAGGTGCAGTGGTGGCATCAGCGGCTCGAGTCCTTGAGACATGTGATCTTGGGACATGTGATCTTGAGACATGTGATCTTGGGACGCGTGATCTTGAATGTAAACTGATTGAAACGGAGGCTTCAGTGGCCAAACAATGTTCCCACAAATATAGTGACCGTAGTTGCAACATTGCAGTACGGTGTGTATATATATAATTTGCATACACGTAGACGACACACATGTGAGTCACTGTTGCGAATAGGGATGGCATATTCCAATGTCTAAAAATAATACCGAGAAGGGCCGGGGTGTTGTTTCGTGGGGCCACATGGGAGCGGATCATTGGCACGTCTGGGGACCGTGAAGCAGATGGATGCTCGCGAGCAAGAAGCCTGCATTCTCTCTCTCTCTTTCGCATGTCAGTAAGTGGCGGTGACGTCACCACGATGCTTGTGCCAGGCTATGTGCACCTTGAGGCCACGTGAAGTGTCGAACGCCTGCTGGTAGGAGGTCACGGGGCAGATCCAGGTGCCACGGGTCGACTGACTGAGATGACTGGCTGATGCACCTCCTGTGCCTCCTACTGTGTCCACTTGCTGTGCTTTAGCCACCCGGCGCTCCGCTCGTTGTTGTAAGCGTCGCTCCTCCGCCCTCCGTTGTTGTTGGAGGGCGACTGCCTCCATCTGCACAGTATCAGCGTCCTTCACGAGCCTCCTCCACAGAGGCCGATCTTGACACTGCTGGTTTCAGTCATCGGCAAGTCCACTCAGCTCCACATCCGACTGTACCACATCACTCCATCTCTTCTCTAACCCGTGCCGCGCCCGTTTAGCCCTCTATATTCGGTCGAACAAAAGCTGTTTAGGTAGGCATGCGGTGACTGGGCATGCGGGCTACATGACCCAGCCAAAGCAGCCTTTGCTGCCGAAGGAGCTCACCGATGGGACTTTGTCCAGATCTTTCAAGAATTTGTGAGCTCCTTACACAATCCAGCCTGGTTAAACCCAGAATGGATCATAGACAGGCCAGCCTAGATGTTTCCAACCGGCGAAGATGATCCATTAGGGGGGGTCCACGTTTCGCAAGCGTAGAAAAGGGAGGGAATGACCGTGGCCGAGAAGACCCAAAGCTTCGTGCGGAGCAACAGACCAGGTAGCTTCCACACAGCGTTACGCAACTGATGAAAAGATAATGCCGCTCGACAGATTCGGAGTGAGACCTCTGCTGTCAAACCGGGGCTGGTCATGAGCACACTGCCCAGGTATGGGAAACTCTCCACTCTCTCCACAAATGCTCCATCACCAATTGGGAGTTGTGGGGGTGGAGTACCCGATGGTACAAAATACCCAGACAAGTGCTTAGTTTTGGTGGAGCTGATGGTAAGGCCCCACCTCTTAGTGGCACACTCCAGGTTCAGCAGCAGCGCCTCTAACTCCTCCTCTGAGTGAGCGGCAATTACCAGATCATCGGCATACATAACGTGGTTGACCAATAGGGTGACATGCCTTGACCGCACCTGGGCATCGATCAGCCTCCCAATGTATCTATACCAGATGATAATTTCTCCGGTACAGCCATCAAAGGCTTCACGAACTACGTGGTCGAAAAAGATGTGA